GAGAATAATGGTCCCTAAAAGCTTATTTCTGGTCCTAAAATATCTATAGCGACCAGTTAAAACTGGTCGTCACCGGTCGCTAGATCCTCCGCCGCTAAAGGTTATTAACGATGGGTTTGACATCTGGTCCCTAATGGTGACCAGATTAATACTGGTCCTTGAAAGGCATTAACGACTAGTTGGAATGTGGTCCTTAAATACTTTTAGGGACCAGAAATATGGTCTTTATTGCAAATCAATGTCATATAATATTTAGTGCCTTCAAACATTTAGCGACGAGTTTACCGGTCGTAAAACGCTTTTAAGGACAAGAAAATCTGGTCCTTAATCTTATTTAGGACCATGCATGGGTGGTCCAAAATTCTAATTTTTCATAAATTTTCAAATCAAATATATTCATTCTACAAATAGAAAATTTAATCACCAAAAGATAATATAATGAAGAAAGATATGGTTTCATATATAACAATTACTGACAAAAAATTAATAGCATTGTACAACCATGGTGAAATATTTTTTGGACACCCCTTTAGCAAAAGTACTTCTAGCTAACATCCCTAAAATTAATATGATATTTTGTCCAACATTCCTAACAAAGCAAAAGTCTACTGATTGTATGTCTTCAAAACCCGCATCTTGATAGCCTCCAAAACCTGTAAAAATATTCAACAAAAATTCCTTTAATAAGAAATTATAAAGATCACTAGAAAATTATATTGAATAATTTTTTCAATTTTCTATTAATAATTTGACCTTTTACCTAAAAAGGTGTCCAAATTCACCAAGTGTAATATATATACACTTCAAAAATAAAATAGCAATGTAAACGAGGCTGCATGAATATAAACAAAAATGAATTAGAAAAAGTGTGTTATATAACCGTCGTATCATTTATGAAAACCTAGAAGGATAATCCTCAACCAAGAACTACAAATTTTGTTTCAAGTTGAACATCTAGACAATAGTTTATATGTACTTAATGAAAATCTAAAAAATAGTGTATATATACACAAGGCACATCTGAAACATCGAACAGTAAAGCTATAAGGAAATATTTTATTTTTACTGAAGTTTGATAGCTTTTATGCATTTAGCTTGGTAGGTATTCATGTAGATGGAATCGCTAATTGCAGCAATTGTCATATACTACATAGTAAATACACGAGAAAGCTCTTAAATACAGAGCTCGCCATTAATAATAGACTAAACCCTAATTCCAAACAAGTTGAGGTCGATTATATCAATCCTCTTAATAAATTGTTGCCACTCAGACATTCATGAAAAAGCTCACAGCAAAAACAAAATCAATACAACACCATACAAGTAACAAGTAACACCATACATACCAGCCCACTTTTCAGTGCAACTCCATACAAATAAGTTGATGAACTCCAGTGACTCCACAAACATTTTTTACATGTAAATAGTCCATGAACTCTATTGACTTCACAAAGGCTTTTATTTGCATATGGTAATCGTAGGTAAATCCTTATAATAAATATTAATCGCTAACTTAATAAAAATGATAGTTACTAATAAGTTAAATATACACTAATAATATAAAAAATCTTTATATTCTTATATATACCGTCAGACACTTCCCTATAACAACATCTCTATATAATAGTCATTCACTATAAAAGTAAGTTTTTCTCAGAAATGATTATTGTATTATGTTATAATATATCTCCTCTATAACAACACTAATTCACTATAGCAGAAACAAATATTGGAACAAACGAGATTATTATAGAGAGGTTTGATTGTAAAAGTTAAATCCAAAATAAGAAAAGGAGATTATAATTAATCCTAGCTAGCAGTACTAGTATAGTTGCAGATATAGAAAATTACCAAGCCAGCAATATGACAGGCAGAATCCTCATTAAAATTACCATGTTATTCATTGTTTAACGTGGTGATATATGCAAATCTTGATTTCAAAAAACATTTGTAATTCCATAATGCACCATCCATACTGTTTCGGAATCCCATTTTCTAAGAAGCTTCCTACGTAGGGGTACTTGGATCCTGAATATTACATGAGCCAACAGTTGACCGAAAAAAGTGATGTATATAGCGTAATCCAAAAAACTTTGCACCCCATTTAAGTAGGCTTCATCAAGTCGATTATCAACAAGTTGCATCCACTGCTTACTAGGTGCCATAACCTTGGAGGTTACATAAGAATCAAATTAGGAAATAAATATAGGATAATGAAAGTACTGTAAGATGCACATAACCTTTTAGAAAAAATTACATAACTGTAATATAGATTTGTGTAAGAAACAAAGTGTCACGAGCCACAAGAAGTTAAGATTAATTATCCAGAAAAACTTATACATTTAAGAAACTAAAACTAAAAGTATATCACTAGTGAGATAAGATACAAATTAATTGTCAAAATAGACATAACACACAATTCTTCAATTTAACACTCATCAACTAGTGTACTTATTACCCCTTAACAATTTCTCTGGTCCATTAGGAGTACATTCCTATCAGAACATTTAGTTAGAGTTAACAATTATTAACTGAATTTACAAAATTAAAACTAAAATAGGGTTGATAGAAAATAAAGTTTCTAGTTCTCACTTTTGTTTGGTTATCCACAAATACTCCAGAAGTTGAAAACAATAAAAAGTAACAGTAAGAATTCTAAAAGTAAACCAATGCATTCTAGACTAGTTCACTAAAAGTTAGAGAAGTCGAGAAAAACTAGCTAAATATTACATTAAACAAGTTTTTTTAACTTACTACATTAAGCAATTTGTACCTCTTCAATCCAATAAAGACCAAAAATTTAACATAGCACTTACAGTGAAAAGCTAAAACAAAAATGTAAGCCAGCAACTGCAAATTACATTAAGATCATCTTACTAGTTGTCGTAGTCTAATTATTAGATGTTCGCCCATTACAGGTTGTAATAGTGATATTTACTAGTTGAGACTAGTTGCAGCAGTCTCACTGTTAGTTGCAGCTAAAACACAACTTTTAAGCCAAGTAACACACTAGTTGCAAGAGTACCAACAATGTCATTTGCAACAGCAATAAAACTTTTCATCTAGGATAGCTTTACAACAAGATAGAACACATCATTCCACTTAAAAGAGAAGCACAACACTAGGCATCAGGTATTGTATTCGAATATTTACTGCTAAAGGAAAAAAATTCTCTACAATCTAATACTAAGTTCCTACTAAAAACGGATTGAAATATAGAAATACACTCACGAACAATCTAAACAAAATGAAGTAAAGATCAGAATTTTTATGAAACATAAATAATTGCAGACAAATCCTTACTCCAACTTGAATAAAACCAAAAATTCTTCTAAGCATAAGTTTCAAATATAAGAACAGAGAATATAGCAGAGGAAGAACAAATTTGAAGGAAAAAAAACAAACAAAGCATAGGCTTTTACAAACAATTCACAAAGGGACACCCAAGCAAATATAATCCAGAAAAGAAATTGATTGTAAAAATATTTGTTGACTAGCAATCAATTTCTACCAACAAAAAAATTAAAAAATGAAGATTTCACAAACCTGCAAAATGGGTTGTTGAGAAATAATAACAAAAGGTTAACCCAGAAGATATATAGAAAAAGAAAGTGTGTTTACTTGTGGTGAGATGGGTAGCGATTTTTCAACTTGATATTTTTCCCAAACCTGCAAAATATGAGATTAGCAAACCTATCGTAAGATAAATAGAAGAAAAATATTCCTTAACATACCAAGAAATTTTTTGCTTAACATACCAAGAAAATGCCTTTGAGAGAAGTATGGAAATTTAAGGGATTTAGGGTTTTTACTTCTATGAGGAGTGAGGGAGATGAGACTTGACGGTAGATATTGGTTTGATAAAAGTTAGAGTTTTTTAGGTTAATTTCATTATGTTTTATTCCAATTTGGGTATGGCGCCACTTTCTCCAGGTAAATTTTTATAATTAAGGACCGTACATTATAAAAATTTTATTTCTATTTAATATTTTAATTTAAAAACTAGAGATTTAAGGACCGGTAGTATTCTTGTCCTTACTAGTGTACTTCTAGGGACCAGATTCATACCTCGTCGCTAAATGTTGGTCCCTAAAAAGTCTTTTTCTTGAAGATGCATCTTGTAATGGAAAGAAAGTGACCATTGATGAACCAAGGCCCTTCCTGAATAGCCTTTTCCATATTTTTCCTTTTTTTTAACGTAATTATGTAATAATCTTCACCAAGATCAATCAATTGGAAATCCTTCGTTGGCCTCCATTATTCTTGAACTTTTTTATTCAAGTAGTGCTGAAACATACGTTTTCCCACTAGCTTCACAATGATAGCATTTTTTCAGGCTCATAAATTCTTTGTCTATCTTCTTCTGACAACGAGATAATTTTAATGCCTCGTATGTTGGAAGTTACAGAGTGTTCGATCATTCCTTCTATTGGGGTAGTCTCTGACAACTCCAATTCCCTTTGATTTATAGTTGAGTCAAAGATCACTGGACTAGAGGTTGTTAGCATTTCTTTCAAGGATGGTTTATTTTGTAGGTTGTTGTGTATGGAATTATCATGATCAATATTAGGAGACTTGGGTGGTATTATATTTTGAGTTTCATGGAGACGGGGGTCCATCTTGAGAGGAAAACCAAAACTTCAAGGATCGGATTAATGATTGTTCATGCATAAATATGACTTTTTAAATTTAGTTGTTATATAGGTATATATCATAAAGATTAGAAAAGAAAAAATATCATGATGCTAAAGAGGTAAAAGATTAAAAACAAAAAGAAATAAATGTTGATATTATAAAGATTAAAATAGGTATTTTAAAAAAGTCGACTGAGAAATAAGGGAGAATGACAATTGTACGAAGTAGAAGGAAGAGTTTGATTTTTAAAATAAAGTTTGGGGGTGTAGATGATTTTCACCCTTACCGAAAATTTCCCAAAATATAAAAACATTTATTTCAACCATAAACGTAGTACCATTTTTTTTTTAAGGGAATAACTCGGACTTCAAACAAGGATGGCGGAAATTTTTCGCATTCCTTATTCTGTATCTCGTCCTGTTTTCCCTTGTCTTTTCGGTCAACTCTTTCGTTGTTTCGTAAAGCCAGATCTGACACTATAAATGACAAGCCTCAAGTTCTTTCCGTGTGTAATTTTGTCTACTCATACTAAGAAGGTAATTAGTTTGGGTTTGGTTTTTCCTATTTTCCTCTCTCAGTCATGAAAATTTTCTACTATTTTTTGGCTGTAAAAGCAAGCTAGATTTCTTTTTCCTGAAAAGCTTCGTTCTTACTATTAAACAAAGCTTGTAGTGAAAAACCAAAAGATTTTGTGTTTGTAAACACAGTGCTACTACTATTACTGTTACTATTTTTGTTCTCTCTACAGATATTTCCCTTTAGGTATTTTAAGTTATGATTGTGTTTTTAAGATTTGAGCCAAAATGGCAATCATATAAACTTCTTGCGCTCCAAGAATGCGTTTCAATTTTGATAATAAAACTTTTTACGTAATATCAGCATTTTATGTTGATGATTTATCTTTAGCCAGGGTCTATCGGAAACGGTATCTCTATCCTTCGGGGCAGAGATAAAGTCTGTGTATACACTATCCTCTCATATTCCACTAGTGATATTTCTCTGAGTTGTTGTTATTGTATTTTGATGTTTTATAATTTTCATTTAGAAGCTGTATTTGTTTTATCAGGGATTGGAAAATCGGAAAAGGAAATAATCGCAGAGATCTGAAAGATGGATTCCGAATATTCAACAACAAAACAGTCAATTATGTCTGTGGTAGGCAATTTGCGACATCAAAACAGGAGGGAGAACTGTCCATCTGTATCTGTATGTAGCCAAAACAAAGGAAAGATATTCAACGATCCTCCACGTTTGCCTAGGAGCAATAAACCATCTACAGACCGCGTTGCATCAAATCGAAATAATAAACGAAGAAATAACTATAATAATCGATCACCAAACCAAATTCGTCAGGATCGACCAATCCCGCCTCCATCATTTAGCAATTATAATTCATATTCAAATTATGAGGTGACACCGACATGTTCGGCAGGTGATCCTCCGGCATCAAGGTCCGACAATTTCTATTCCGTGATTCCTTTTATCATTGTCTTCTTTTTTATCGTCTTCAAGTTCTTTATGTAGAAATTTACATTTTACTTTTCGCATGAACTGTTGCTTTTATTTAGAAATAAATAAAGTACTGTAGCCCCACACTAGAGGACGAGGGCAGTTGTCCATGGTGCAATAGCTTACTGGTTAAGTTTTTCATTTCAAAGTATGATGTTTAATTAAGTTTTGAATTATAACTCTTGCGCAAATTTATTTTTAGGTAAACCACTCATGCACCTCTAAAGGAGAAGTAAAATGGTCGTTGCAGTAATAATCCAATTAATTACCGAGGTCGAAAAATTTAAATAGGTGTTATGGTAGATACCTAGGAAGGCGACTAAATAAAGCTTAAATTAGCTTTAGTGACTAAGGGTGTGTTTGGTTGGCTTAAATGTTTTGGAAAACATTTTCCTTATCAATTCATTTTCCTCCAATTGGAGGAAAATATTTTCCTTATCAAAAGAAGGGAAAACATTTTCCAAAGCTCCTTCTCAACCTTTCTCACCCTCACCAACCCACCCCACCCCCTCTCCAAAAAAAAGTTTTTTTTTTTTCAATTTCAGTTTTTCC